GGGGCTCTCCGTCCCTATATTGATTATAGAGGCCTGAATCAAATTACCAAGACCTAAACCGTAGAACAATTAAAGGTTGCCCAGCATTTTACAAAATTAGATTTAAGAAGTGCCTACAATTTCATCAGAATCAGAGAGGGAGATGAGTGGAAAATGGCTTTTGTGAACACAAGAGGGCACTATGAGTACCTTGTAATGCCTTTCGGGCTCTCTTTTAGTTATGTCATTAGTTCTACCAGAGCTGTCATGGATGACAAGAAAGTTGATGCTGTCCTCAATTGGCCAACTCAGTCTTCAGTCATGGAACTTCAGAGATTCCTTGGCTTTGCCAATTTTTACCCCTGTTTTATTTGAAGCTTCAGTACTATTGCTGCTCCACTGACTACCTTACCGAAGGGTTCTCCCGAAAGGCTTCATTGGATGAAACAAGCAGAAACTGCTTTCTTAGCACTTATAGAAGCTTCTTCCACAGCTCCTATACTTAAACACCCTGACCCTTCTGAACCCTTTGTAGTTGAGGTTGATGCTTCTCACATTGTTCAGGTAATCCACAGAAGCTTCACCCAATTGCATTCTGTTCACACAAGTTGACACCCACTGAGAGAAATTATGGCATCGGAGACTGTGAACTGCTTACCCTAAACCTCGCATTGGAGGAGTGGTGTCATTGGCTCGAGGGAGCTAACCACGCTTTCCTTGTGTTCAATGCCCATCAAGCCCAATGGTCCCTCTTCTGCTCCAGATTCATTTTTAATATTACATACCGTCCCGGATCTCGAAACACTAAAGCAGATGCTTTGTCACATATTCACCAAGATAACTCTGCTGACTCTGCCCAGTCTGACCCAAAACCAATTCTACCTCCTTCAGTGACTGTGTCCTCTATATGGTGGGAGATAGATGAAGAGTCCCCATTCGACCCTGGTCACACACTGCTGTGGATTTCATCACTGACTTACCTGAGTATACCAGGTTATACCACCATACTCACTGGCAATGACCAGTTTTCACAAGGTGTCTTTTTGGTGTCTTTTTACATCCATTCCCACTGCTATTCAGACAGCTGAAGTATTATTTAATAAAGTATTTGTTTTGTTTTTTTTTGGAATACCAGAGGATATTTTGTCAGATAGAAGTCCTCAATTCACTTCACAAGTGTTGTCTGCTTTTTTTGAACATGTAGGGGTGTCTATTTTTCTGTCTTCTGGGTATCATCCACAATCTAATGGGCAGTGTGAACCCATGAACCAAGATCTAAGGAAGTTTCTTAGAATGTTTTGTCATGACAATCCTTCAGACTGGTCAAAATTCCTCTTGTGAGTCGAAATCGCCCAGAACTTCTTAATCAGCTCAGCTACTGGACTTTCCCCATTTCAGTGTGTCCTTGTTTACCAGCCTCCACTAGCACCATGGACAGGCATCATCACAGATACCCCAGCTATCGATGCCTGGATGCAGAGGAGCAAGCGGATCTGAGAGGAAACTCACCAGAAGATAGAGGTCGCCCTCTGCAAGAATAGGAGCAGGCAGACTGTCATCAAGGTGACACTCCCGTATACCAACCCGGAGACAGAGTGTGGCTTTCTACAAGGGACTTCAGAGCTATTGAGGGAAGTAGAAAGTTGCAGCCTAAGTACAATGGTCCATTTAAAGTGCAAAAATTAGTTAATGAAGTTAGATTCGCCCCTGTTTCAGAATGTCTCGCTCATTCCATGTTTCTTTGTTGAAACCTGTTATTTCAGGGCCGCTGGACGAGGCTACTCCAGGCGTCACACCACCCCCTCCAGGGGTGATAGATGAAGCACCCGAGTTTGCTGTCCATTGGTTGCTGGACTCCCAGACACATGGAGGTGTGCTCCAATTGGGAGGGATATGGCCCTGAGGAGCAGTGTTGGGTCCTCACATGGAATGTACTGGATCCTGGTTTGATTGTTGACTTCCATAGTCGTCACCCAGAGAAACCTGCTCCTCGACCAAGGGACCGACCACGGAAGGTGCCCTCCAGTCCACTTCCTGAGACTCTGTTGGGTCATCGTGGACAAATCCCATCTGGCCACCGCCGCGGCAGCTCGGGCCCTGCTCCTGTTCGGTCCTTCGGATGTGGGCGTGGTGGTTGTCCTGGTCGGCCTTGTTCTGAGGCCATCCCAGACTTTTTGGGGGGGTGCTGTCACAACTCCGTTCGGCTCAGAGGTCTCTTTGGATTCCATCTCCCAGAACTCCCTGGGGCATCACATGACTGAACCCCCTGGGGGATTCACTCTCATGCTCCAATCAGCGCTCTAGCTCTCCAGAGTACTGATCATGTACACCTGCAGCTCATTGATTAGTTTAGTATAAAGCCCAGGCCTGTGGGATAGGTTCTTTGCAAGGTATTGCTTCTGTCTCTAGAGCTACTCAGCGTTCATATCTGTTTGTTTTTCTGGTTCTGACTTTTATTCCTGTTTTTGACTTACCTTTTGCCTGGCCCTTTTTCAGATTGTTTGCCTGTATGTTTGTGCTTCTGTGTTTTCCTTTTTGGATCTGACCTATACCTGTTTATTGACTTATTTTGGATTGTGTTTTCATCAGTAAAGCCTCTTATTCTACTTTTACCCACAAGTGTCTGCATCATTCTGTTTGCATTCAAACTTTGCAGGTCTGATCTTGTTGCAAATACAACCTGTAAATAAAAAATACACTTTTAATTCAGGTTGAATGTTACATTCTTAAAACTCATTGCTCATTGAAATGAATCAATACTGTTTTTACCAGTGGTCAGTTTATCAGATAAGTCCTTCACTTCTGTTTGTGTCACTGTGCTCACTTGTCCAAACTTTTGCCGTTGCGATGTTGCAATCACAGAGCAGATATTTAGCAAGAGTGTACAAAGGATATTTGATTCAGTGATGACTATGTTGCCTCTGACAGTGACACCACCATCATCAAATTCGCTAATACCAATATCATGGGATTGATCACTGGGGGGTGATGAGATGGGCCTATTGGACTGAGGTGGTCAACAATCTAGGCTTAAATGTTGGAGATGTACTAGAGGAGGGCACAGCAGCATAAACCACTGATCCAGGTCCTCAGGAAGGCCCACAGAATAATCAAGAACAAAACCCACCCTCAACACAATATATTCACACTCCTCCCATCTGACGGATGGGAGTGTGAAATTAAGATACCACATTACAAAACAGTTTCTATCCCCAGACCATCTGGCCAGTGGTGTGTTCTCAGACCCCCTTCCACACCCCCACCACACCCATTACCTCTCTCCATTAAAGACTTTCATGCACTACATTGTGCAATTCAAAAGTAGCTGCTATATAATATGTTTTGCAGCAATAACAGCTTCCACTCTTCTGGGAAGCTTTCTGCAAAATTTTGGAGAGTGTCTGTGGGAAGTTTTGCCCATTCATCCAGAAGAGCATTTGTGAGGTCAGACACTGATGTTGGACAAGAAGACCTGGCTCACAGTCTCCATTCTAGTTCATCCCAGGTGTTTGATGGGGTTGAGGTCAGGGCTCTGTGAGGGCCAGTCAAGTTCTTCCATGCCAAACTCACCCAACAATGCCTTTATGGACCTTGATTTGTGCACTGGGGCTCAGTCAGACTGAAATAGAAAAGGGCCTTCCCCAAAATGGTCAGAAGCATAGAATTGTCCAAAATGTCTTGGTCTGCTGAAGCATTAAGATTTCACTTTACTGGAATTAAGGGTTCTAGGCCGGCCCCTGAAAAACAACCCCAGAACATTATACCTCCTCCACCAAACTTTACAGGCACAATGCAGTCGGGCAGGTAACGTTCTTCTGGCTGTTGCAAAACTGAGACATGTCCATCTGACTGCCAGATAGAAGAGTCCAGCACTTACAGTTGACAGGAGCAGATTTAGCAGGACAGAAATTTCACATAGTGACTTGTGGCAGAGGTGGCATTCTATGATAGTGCCATGTTTAAAGTCACTGAGCTCTTCAGTTCGACACATTTTACTGACAGTGTTTGTCTATTGAGACTGCAAGGCAATGTGCTTCATTTTATCTAGCTGTTAGCAATGGGTTAGGAGGTGCCGTGACAAGGCACAGCAGTGGCATGGTTGGTCAAGGCAGAGTGTCAGAGCTCCAGCGTACGCAAGCAGCAGCCTCTGCTCTGCCGCCCCAGGGAAGAGATGTGGCCCTGAGGGAGGACTGGTGATGTACATCGTCATGAACATATGCCCACATTGTGTGTGTTTGCTGGGATGGTGAACACTCTGTAACCCTTCTGCGCAGCGACTGTGAGGTGGGGGGAGTGGCGTTTCCCCATGCACCCTAAAACTCTCTGCTCAGACTTTGTTCGGACTTTGTGGGGTCGCCAAGATGGCTTCTCTGAAGTGGGAGAGCAATGTAGTACCTGCCACTACCGGCTTGTTCAGCTGTGGATGTGTGGGAGGCATGGCCATGCGGAGCAGCGAGCGTGGAGCACCATGGGTACCACCATGGCAGCGGTGAGAGAGATTTAAGACATGTGAATAATTGTTGTGGTCTAAGCGGTGTGCATATGTGTTGTTTGTTGTTTGTGGGCTGGCTGGGTGGTTTTAGTGGTCACCACGGACTGGCTATGTGTTGCTGAACATGAACTTCTCGGCCTTTCAGCCAGTCCTTGTGGTAAATGTTCCCTGCTACATGGTTAATAAAACAGCACTCATTTGATGCAGTATATATATATATATATATATATATATATATATATATATATATATATACATATAGTCGTTGTCTAACATGCATTCTGGGTTCCTGGATAATAAGCAGTCCAAACTACAGGCCATTTATTATCAGAGTTAATATTAAAATACACCAATAATTCACAGTCTGATCTTAATAGTAAATACACAGAATACTTGTGCAGCTGAAAATTACTGACTTCAATCTAAGCTTACATCAGGTGAATCCCACCCATGAGTTTGTTTGCCAGTTACAGGAATGTTGTTAATGAATTTTCATGCTGACTCATATGTGTTGTAGTGTAGGAGGGGTTTGAGGGTCCAGCAGGGTTTAAAAGCTTTCGAGTATGAACACTTGTCTAATGTGAAAAGCAACACCTTACAAGTAAGTTACATTTTATGTTTTAAATTCAACATTGGTAGATTATGTTCAGTAATATAACAAGGTATAGTTACCATTACTAATAAGTATCATGACAAGATGTCAAAATGTTTGGTTATAATGGCTAACAATACACAGCAAAATGAGCATGTCAGTGAAATGTAGCTGCTTACGTAAGTAAAGTGTTAACACTGCCACAATATGAAAACAAAATCACAAGTTTCTATGTAAATCCTCATGCTGTCTTCATGTTGAATGCACATTCATGTTTGTATATTATATGTGTGTAAGTTTGTGTATTATTGTTTAATTCTGTCGAGGTCCAAGTCTGCTTCAGAATCAAGCTTTCAGAGAATCAAGGTCTTTGTCTGTTGAAACAGCTGCCTGAAAAAATGACAGTAAGTTATAGTTTACTTATGCTAATGTGACTATTCTAAATGTGGATTGGACTTATTCAAGGTTTATGTGTTTGTTAACCCACATTTTTTCTCATAGATGTAAAAATATCTTTGAAAGAAAATTTAAATGTACAGAACAGCAGGTAGTTTAGTCTGAACTTCACTCAACATACCTGAGTAAATATCAGTTTATGAGTTTACTGCACTTTCATGCTTTCTAACTGTTTCCCAAACGTTTTATTTTATATTAGTGTACTATTATTATTATTATTATTAGTAGTAGTAGTATTGTAATATTTGTGTATGCATTCTGTAGGTTGTACTTTTTACAATTTTAATATTTAAATGTTTATTATGTCTCTCAATCTCTTTGTCTGTTCTGCAGTTCAGAGTGCTTCTGGCTCTAGTGCTCCCCCTGTTGGTTGCGAGTGACTCAGTTTCTCAGATCGACTGCTCTGATATCTCCACTAATGCAACACTGAATGGAGTTTACACCATCTACCCTGCAGGTGACACACCTGTACAGGTGTACTGTGATGTGGGCTGTGATGGACAAGTAGAGTATAAGAAGTGGACGGTATGTTAGACTTTATCTCTACCCTAGAACTGCAGTACTGAGGTCAATTCCTTTTTACAGTCTATTAGCAACATCGTTATTAAAGAAACTATGGATAACATACAGTTATATTTATATTTATAAAGACATCCAAAATGTGTAATCTGCATGGTTTAACAAGTCACTGATAGAGACACTTATAAATATCAGTGGTGGACTGTAAGAATAATCCATCAATTACTGTACATAAGTACTTTTGCAATATCTGTACTTTTATAGAAATTAACTTCACTGCTTTCAGCAGGATACTGTGAAGTAAAATTTCTGGTAATGCTTTGCTTTAAGGTCAGCTTCTTAACAATTCATTCACTATAAGCAAGCTGTTAATAATGCTAATGCAATTATTCTTACACTTTCAAACACAGTGGGCACACACTAGCATTGTAAAATAAGTTATCAGCTGTTCATGAGTTCTGCTTAACAAGACAAACATTCATAAATTGTATAAGTACACTTGTGTCTGACCCTTTATTAGCATTTCTATCATATTTGCTCATTGTGAATTCAGATAATTATCACCTGTTCGTAATTCTTGATTAAGATGTCTCATAAAGACATAACAGGTATGCTTTTAACTAAAAGACTACAAATAATGGACACTAAACTCATTGGACAAAAATAATAACTCACCTTGATAACCTGTCTTATAAATACTGTAGCATTCATTGGCATTAAAACAGGCATAGCTTTCACACAAGTAGTAGTGCTTTATTAACCAGCTGTTGTTAATAAGGCCACAGCCACACTGTACATAAGCAAAGCTCATGGCTAAGAGCTCTCTCTAAGCTTCCATCTGGACTCATGTCTGCGCTGTATCAGCTCCAAGCTCTGAAAAGGCAGACAGGCTCCACCTTCACAATAAGAGTGAATAAATGCAGAAGTCCTGATAATTTAAAATTAACTTGCACACATTTCTTAAACACGCTACAATGCATTCATACTTCATTTTAAGCTTGTTTACAGATGGTGTGTTTGTATTTATTAGAGCATTATCAAATGTTTGTTAATGGTTTAGTTATCGTCAAGAAGAAGATCTTAAAATAGTAATGGTGGCAGATGGAAACAGACACAATCAAGGCTAGATGTGAGAAATTTAATCACAGGGTTGATCCAAAAGCTCAGTCGAAAAACAGATGCAAGGAGTCCAAAACCAGGAATCCAAAACTAAGCAAAAGGGCTGGGGAATACAGGTCATACACAAAAAAGGAAAAACAGACATCAGTATACTCAACATAGAGCTGATACCTCACAATGAGTCTTTGTAAACAGGCAGGTTATATACATGGCAAAACAGGTTTATCTGTGTAATCAGAAGTCCGGTGATGCTGAGTGATGATAGGTGGATCTATTGTAGTTCTGAGTCATGTGACGAAGCAAGGGGTTCTGGGCATTGTAGTCTGAGGCGGCCATTTCGGCTGTAGTTTTAGCCAGGCCAGAGGGAGGCGTGCCAAAAAAAGGGTTTCCAATTTTGCATAATATACTAAAGGATATGATGCACTTTTACAATCCATATCACTCCCCTGACCACTGGACGGTAGGCCATAGCTGTAACTAGGCCTGAGCAGCCTCAAGAAGCTTTCAGAACTAAAGGAAATGCCATAATGAAACGCCTGTGTGAGGTATTTTGAAATCAGCCAGTATCACAGAGGTGAAGTTTCACCCTTTCACCTAAACTGAAGACACAAGAGAAGAAATATTGGATCATTAGAATATCACACTTCTGTATTTTTAGCCAACTAAAATATAAACAGAGCACTTATACCTTGGCTTGAGTAATATTCTGCTATAGTATCACGGCTTAAACAGTGAAAAAAGTCCACCTGCTCTATACTGTTTACATGAAAATTTACATTTATTTTAGTCTGAGGAAGTTCTGTGAGAAGTCTTTACAGTGTGTATGACTGCCTTTATTCCACTTAAGTAATAAATGTTATCTTTACACCAGGTGATTCAGAGGAGAATGGATGGCAGTGTGAACTTCTACAGACCATGGGAGCAGTACAAGAAAGGATTTGGGAACTTGAAAGGAGAATTCTGGCTGGGTGAGAATTCATTATCTTTCAGAAACACTGTGTAGAGACCCATTTATTTCATTTATGTAATAAATATTGTAACCCTCTCTTTCATTTTCCTGTGCACCCTCAGGATTAGAGACTCTCTACCAGCTCACCAGCAAGAAAACGTATGAGCTGAGAGTGGACCTGCAGGACTTTGAGGGAGCGAAGGCTTATGCCCTGTACTCTTCTTTCTCTGTGGAATCTGAAGCTAATGGCTACAAACTCAATGTTGCTGGATTCTACAATGGAGGAGCAGGTGAGATAAAATTAATAATATGGAAAATAATGGAGATGGATGTTGAAGTGCAGACTTAAAGGGGCCAGTCACATTAAAGCAGCAGGCTGTAGTTTGACAATGCATTTAATAACAAGTACACTCTCAGAAAAAAGGTATGAATGTACCCCTCTTGTCACTGGAGTGATAGCCTCGAAGGTACATCTGAGTACCTTTGGTCAGGGAACATAATTGTACTGTAATCCATTGAAATTATATAAACTGTATTGACTCCACACATCCAGGCTTTTTATTTTATTGTTCTGTTTTAAGACATTAGGTTATGAAACAATACAACGTATTTAAAGAAACAACATATTTAAGGTTCACAACTGAACCTTCAAACCACTGTTGTACCTTTGAGAGCACATTTACATTGTTTGTTCATTGATGAACAAAAAAATGTACCTACACAGAACCTTTATTTCTAACAGCATAGAATGAATTATGACACTGTACCGTAACACAGTGTTTCACTGCATCACAAGTATGTAAGCTTGCAAGTGCACAATGTTTTATGAGCTCTGAAAACTGGCTAGAGGACTACTGGCTGGAGCAATACTGATTATTCTGTTCACTTTAATGAAGCCAGACTTCTGCCTGTCTCAGAGAGAGAGTCTTAGTAGGTTTTGTTGCTCAGCATCAGCAAGAACTGAATATTTTGACAGAAAGGGGCCGTTTAATAGACATAAAATATTGCCAAACACAAAACATTGTTTTTGAGTTCAAACAGGCCAATTTTAAAAACAACAAAAACAGACCCAGCAGGAAACAAAGCAGTGTGCATCAGCAAATATGCAAGAGTGTCTCAATTACTAGCCACAAAATACTTCAATGAAAATGTTTGAAAAACTATTAAGGATGTGAATCCCCAAACTTTACATACTTTTTCCAGTCCAGTCATTGTATCTCACTCTGAAAGGCCCACCGTTGTCAGAAAGTGCACAATAGATAGAGTCCTTTTTCTACACTGCTAAAAAAAAGAAAAAAAAACATCTAATGGAAGTCTGTTCAGATGGCTATGGGTGGGGCTTACTTTAAAAATGTATTCTGGTACAGATTACCTAATCCAATTGATTACTATTCTTTACTTTGGGATTACTTTTACTCTTTTTCAGCTCAGATAATTAAATAAAAAAGCACTAGAACATTAAACTTTTTTGTAGCAAAATGGCAAATTGACGGTGTTAACAATGGTAAACATTAATGTTAGCTCAGTTCTGCCAATAAAAAATACTTACTAAATTTTCTGTAGATTGGCTGAATAAAAGACTGTGAACTACTACTTGTGAGGAGAATTCTTTATATTTCTCTGCTGGCGGAAGCCCTGACCCCCTCCCGAAATGAAAACTCTTAAAATCTTCAGTAATGTGACAAAATCAAAAGTAATTTTTACATAAATTTATATTAAATATGTTATAAAGTTGTTGTTTACTCTGTTTTGTGATATTTGAATGTGGAAAGCATGTCTGTGATGACAGATCCTTCTGTCTGCAGGTGACTCACTGGCACATCACAATGGACAGAAGTTCTCCACCTTCGACAAAGACCAGGACTCTAGTAGTGAGAATTGTGCTAAACTCTACCTCGGGGCATTTTGGTACAATAGTTGCCACAATGCTAACCCCAACGGTATATATGTGTGGGGACAGCACGACAACCATTATGCTATTGGAAATGTGTGGTACCACTTTAAAGACCATAAGTACGGTCTCAAGTTCATCAGTATGAAGATTAGGCCTGTCGCTTAGATCAATATGATGTGTTCCTCTTGCTCAAACTAAATTCTGAGTTCAAAATATGTCAGGTCAAAATCATTGCTCACACTGTTACTTTGTTATCTTAATTTTGTGTTGAGCTGCATTTTCTATTCCAGTGTTTGTTTAAGCTCTCAAGATGTTTTCACATTGTAAAGTTTTCAGCAGAAAATAAATGTTTGATCAGGGACATGGGAAGGTGTTTTAAATTGAGCACTAAGCAGTGCATACTTGACGTGAATGGTGATGTCATGCAAAATTATTCGCCTTATTTCTTTTCTTTTATTGATAATTTACATCAAGCAGAAGATGTTGCACATCCTGCTCATTCTTTTCTGAACAAACTTTATGCAAGTGAGCTGAGCAAATCAGCTAACTGATCAAATTGTCAATGTGTGGCGCAGGAAGCAATTGTGTCACAGCCACAGCCAGACGCTAAAATTCAACATCGAGCAGTAGATAGAATGCCTGATAAAAAAAAATGTATCCAAAGTGCAGGATATTAAGGTCAATTTTTTTCAGTATAAAAAAACAATATTAAGCTGCTCTGGGGCTTGGAACAGCTCTGCATGCATTTTCTCTCTTTATTCCTCAACCTGCTTGTGTTTTAACAATGCACCCCCAAAGCATCCAGCAGCCGGTGGTTGAAGTCATTTGGTTGCTGTAATGAAAATGCAAATGAAAATGAAAATTTAAACAGTGCACGGCTACTGCCATGCCCTTTACCACCCCAACTTCCCGCATCCCTGTACATATGTATTGAATGAACTCTTCTGTTTAATGCAAATAAAACAAGCACTTCCAAAATATATATGGTTCATATCATGCATTTTGATATTTTCATCTGTGACCACTCCTTAAACTTAGCAAGTGTAATAGTGTTTCAAATTCAAACTATATACAAAAATTAAATTCTAATTCAAGTTGATAAGCTGGCTTCGAGGTGAATGTTGGAAGCTGACTCACATTGAAGAGCCAGTGTTAATCAGTTATTTGTTTGTAAATTAACACAAAATAAATGATTATATGTTATATCGCTGATATATCCGTGCCCTCGTTATCAACAACTCCTGCTGCTTGTTGTGTTAAGTTTGGTTCTAGTTTTGTTCTTGGCAGTTTTCTTGTAATTCTCAGCTGTTTCTTCAACTGTGCCTGGTTAGTTCTTTACCTGCCTTTGTTAATGACCAGTTGATAGATTTGTTTGCATTTTGCTTGTTTTACTAGCTTGTGAACCCTATCTTTCAGAATTCATCCAGTCAAACTATTTACAAATATCTGACTTACTATACTTGTTTCTAAATGAGAAGCACAATGCATTTTTGGTAAGTAGTTATTTAGAATGCAGAAGAATAATACAAGGTAACACTTTACTTTGCTTGTCGCCTTGTAGATATTCAACACACTATCCGAAAGCTGGTCAACTTTCTGGCAACACAGGAGCAGTAGCTTCACTCAAGCTGTACTCAGCTGGGGTAGTAATTGCCCCCTCCTTTTCTATAAAATTCTATACCATCTTAGTTCCCATCATTTCCAAACCTTACATTTCCTTGGGAACCCTTATTTCCAAACATACATGAGATATGTTTTTTTTATTTTTATATCTTATCTTAGCTGTACCAGGATATTCCACTCTCCCAATGGCATTAGCTTTGACTGGTTGCATTGTAAATTCACCTACTCCAGAACTGGTTCTTATCTCAAGGACAGCTCCTCTTTCTTCACACAGCAGATTCTCACAAGCTTCTGGAGGCCTCTTTGCTAAAAAAGTTCCCATGCAAGCTATGGCCTATCTTACAGTGTAAAGACTACTATTCTTTTGGTTAATAAATGCTACTTGTTAGAACTATCAAAGATAAAGATTATTTATTCAAAACATCCGTCAGGTGTCAGACTCCATTTCCCTGGTGGAGGTCACTGAGGTACTTGGCCAGCTCAGTGGGAAGGCACCGGGGTGGATGAGATTCTTCCGGAAATGCTTAAGGTTCTTGAAGTTGTGGGGCTGTCATGTCTGGCACACTTCTGCAATGTTGCATAAATGTTGTAAACAGTACGCTTGGACTGGCAGACCAGGGTGGTCATCCCTATTTTTAAGCAATAGGACTGGAGAGTGTGTGCTAATTACTGTGGTATCACAATGCTCAGCCTCCCTGGGAAAGTTTATGCCAAGGTGCTGGAAAGGAGACTCTGACCGATAGTCCAACCTCAGATTCAGGAAGAACAATGTGGTTTCCGTCCCAGACATGGAACAATGGACCAGCTTTTTATCTTTATGCAGATTGCTGAAGGGGCATGGGAGTTTGCTCACCCAGTCTACATGTGTTTTGTGGACTTGGAGTAGGCTTATGACCATGTTCCCCAAGATATTCTTTGGTAGGTCCTCCAGGAATAAGGGCCACTACTCTGGGCCACTTAGTCTCTGTACTCCTGGAGTGAGGGTTGTGTCTGTATACTCGACATTAAGTCAAACTTGGTCAGTGTTAGTTTTGGACTCTGCCAAGGTTGTGCCTTTGTGATGTTCATGGACAGGGTGTCAAGATGTAGCCAAGGTCAGGAGGGCATTATGTGTGGAGGCCGGAGGAGATCAAATTTCGTCCCTTCTACTTACAGAGAGAGCACACAGCTGTTATTGTTACTGCAGCCTACACCCCTCCTGATGCTAATGCTAAGCTAGCTATGGAAGAGCTAAGTGAAGCAATCAGCAAAGAACAAACTGCACACCTAGATGGGCTCTTTATTGTTGCTGGGGACTTCAATCATTCTAATTTGCGATCTGTGCTGCCAAAATTCCACCAGAATGTCTCCTGCCTGACCAGAGGAGACAAAACTCTAGATCATGTCTACACAAACATTGCAGACTCATACAATGCTGTCCCCCTCCCCCAACTGGGACAGTCTGACCACGTCTCATTGTTTCCGCTCCCCAAGTATGTGCCACTCATCAAACATGTGAAAACATCTACAAAGACTGTTAAAGTGTGGCCAGAGGGGGCTGTCTCCTCTCTACAGCATCAGTTTCACAACATTGATTGGATTATGTTCTCCACTGAAGCCCCTACAGACTCTCACCTGGACTTAGACACATACACCTCAGCTGTAATGAGTTATATCAACTCCTGTATTGACAATGTCACCTTTGTCAAGTGGCTGAAAATCTTTCCTAATTAGAACCTAATTAGAATGCTTCGAGGATGAATGAGGTTCGGCTACTGCTGAAGACAGTTAGACCCAGTTTTCACTGACATCTACAACCTGTCACTGGCCCAGGCTGCTGTTCCCACATGCTGGAAGGCAACAACCATCATCATTCCGGTGCCAAAGCGTTCTTCTGCAGCATGTCTGAGAGACTTCCGCCCTGTCGCACTCACACCCATTGTGATGAAGTGCTTTGAGAAACTGGTTCTCAATCATCTGAAAGCAGTGGTCCCACCATCACTGGATCCCCCCCAGTTTGCATACCGCTCCAACAGATTGACAGAGGATTCCATTTCCACAGCTCTTCATTCTGCCCTCACCCACCTCGAAAATCAGAACACATACATTCGGATGCTGTTCATTAACTTCAGCCCCACATTCATTACAGTCATCCCAGTGATCTAGGAATCAGCACTCCCCCTGTGTAATTGGGTCTTGTACAAACAGACCCTAGGCTGTCAGATTGGACCATCATATGTCTTCCACCCTCACCCTGAACACCAGTGTCCCACAAGGCTCAGTCATCAGCTCTTCTGCCTGTTTACCCATGACTGCATTCCTCTGCATACATCGAACATCATTATTAAATTTGCAGACGATACCACAGTGGTTGACTACATCAGCAACAATAATGAATCGGCCTACAGGAACGTGATCCAGCACCTGGCTGCCTGGTGTACTGCCAACAACCTCTCCCTCAACACAGCCAAAACCAAGGAGCTCATTATGGACTACCAGAAAAACAAAAGCCGTACACACTCTGACTGAATCAACGGTTCTGAGGTAGAGTGTATCTCCAGCTTCAAGTACCTGGGAGCACACATCTCCGAAGATCTTTCATGGACACTCAACACCCCACACTTGGTTAAGAAGGCACAACAGTGCCTCTACTTTCTGAGGAGACTAAAGAAGGAACATCTGTCACCTCAGATTCTCACAAACTTCTACTGCTACACCATCGAAAGCGTACTGACCAACTGCGTGACAGTGTGGTACAGCAGCTCCACTGTGGCCGACAGGAAGGCCCTCCAAAAAGTGGTGAAGACCACTGAGCGTCACTGGCACACGGCTCCCTGCCATAAGAGACATTTACCACCAGCGCTGTGTGTGCAGAGCGTGCAGCATCATCAAGGACTCCTCCCACCCCAGCCACACACTGTTTAACCTCCTCCCATCCGGGAGAAGATACAGACGCAATCAGACCAGAACCAGTCGGCTTAGGTCAAGCTTCTTTCCCTCCACCATCACCCTGCTGAACTCCACACCACTCCACTAACCTTCTACTTGTATGTTGCACACAATATACTTAGTTATTATTTATTATTCCTACCATTTCTAAACAACAGACTGTTCACTGTATGTTCAATACAACACATAACTGCTTAGTCTAACAGTATGTAACATTCCGTATATATTGTTTATAATTTTATATATATATCATAGTCATAGAGTATTTGTAATTGTGTATGTTGTTTGTATGTATTGTGAGATGTTGTTCATAAAGGTATGTTTATATATATATATATATATATATATATATATATATATACATACATTTGTGCCTTTTATTGCACATTTGCAATGTCTGTTTTGCAATATTGCTGCTATTTGCACTTCTGGTAGATGCTAACTGCATTTCTTTGCCTTGTACTTATACTGAATAATGACAATAAAGTTGGTCCTGATCTTTGGGTAATGACTGAAAGAATGAGATTGCAGGTACAAGCTGTGGAAATGAGCTTTCTTTGCAGGGTGGTGGGCTACACTCTATTTGATAGGGTAAGGAGTTATTTTGGTCCTACCTTGGCTACATAAATATAATCCCTCTATTTTTGGTCAGACCTTGCAATATCCAATTGGTCTTCCTTTTGCCAGGACCAGTACCTTGATTACCCCAGCTTAGCTTTACCTTTTTGTACTAATGAAAGTCCTAATGTGGACAGTCTTGTATCTATCCCCTCTGAATATGAGGATCTTAACCCTTGTGGGATGTTGATGTTTTTGTTACTCAGTGATCTGGTGGACTCACTGTATTATTGTTGTTTTAAATCAATACAGCCATAACAATTTATGTTAAAATATCAGATGTTTAAAATTTCAAAAGCAGCCAGCGTAGGGTTCTCCTTTAGCAGCTGTAGCCAGTCAGCAGCCTGTCCATGTTGTCCACCCTCACACCCTCACACACACACACACACACACACACACACACACACACATATATACAAACAAATATACACACAGACACACAGACACACACACACTAACAAGCAGGCCATGTAGGAGGAGAACAGAGTGAAGGACACAGCACCTCCACACTTTTATTCCCTGTGGGTTCACCCAACACCACATGTGTACTATAAATGTATGGGGGGAGTAAAGTGTGAAGTCTTTGAAAATTAGTTATTTTATATGTTCTTCACTGAAAATGAGCAAAGGCCAAGAAATCTGGGGTTGTAATAATAAAAAATCACATCATTTTTTCTTTGTCAAGCACTGAAAATGGGTCCCACAGACCTGAAAACAGAAGGACCTTCAAGAACTTTAAAGAAGTCTTCAGTAAGAGTAAAGCCACTTCCTCCTCATCGTAAAAATGATTGTGCTATTAAGCTTATTGTTC